GCCCTTGTCAAGGTCATGCCCAGTCAAATGCTGCTCTTTTTTGTACATTTACTTTGGTTTCTGTCGTGTGTTTTTGTTTTTTGGTTTGTGTGTTTTTTAACCAAAAGCAAACTGCAGCTTTTGTTTCACAATTTAATGGATGTAATGGGTAAAATGATGGATCAGCAGCTGATCTATTGTATAACTGCGATGTCCCCGACTCTTAACGCCAACGCGGATAAACCACAGAAAACAACAACAACAACAATAACAACAAGAAAAACATAAACACATAAAGCTCGTGGCGGAGGAGGAGGGAAAATAAACTCTGTTTGTTGGGGGATCTTGAGTTCAACGACTTCACATGACAATTGGCCATTGTTGGTGGTGTTGCAGTTGTTGTTGTTGTTGTTGTTGCTTGTTGAATGTTTTGTCGTGGCAAAAGAAAAAGCACAACAGCCCAAGCAAAAGCACGAGCAATTAAAAAGACGTTAATTTGTCGACTCTTTGTGGCCACGAAATTGAATTTTTTAACTGACCAACTCCAGTGATTAATAGCATTGAGAAGCCGGCTTGGCTGGCTATCTCCGATCCCGAATCAAATTCTTTGAGTCGACTCGATTTGCTTTTGAGGCAAAGGCAAATGGGAAATGGTCCGCTTCTGTCGCTCATAATTACTCGAAGCCTAAATTAACGACTGAGCCAGGCGCAGAAGCCAACGGTTAAAGTCACAGTCAGCGAACTCTGAACAGCGAACACCAAACACCGCACACCAAACACCAAACACCGACCACCTAACACAGCTAACAGCACTCCGCACACAAACCCCCCAGATACGCAGATACACGGATACATGGTTACAGATACAGATACAGCCGAAGGTATGCTCGTGCATGATTCTAATTACTATGTATGGGCTTTGTGCCCCATGGATTATATAGACAATGCACAGGGAGCAGGGAGCAGGGAGCGGGATATCGAGAGGCCCCAGAACAAAAATAGTAGTAGTAGAAATTCAGCGGCAACAAGAACTCCATTGTTCGTCGAGCGTCGCCAGCGGAGCGTCAGTTGGAGAATGGAGAATCGAGACCGGAGACCGGAGACCGGAGAACGCAGAATGGGAGTTCAAGTACCCCCTGACAGAGGCATTACATGATAGCTATAGATCATAGAGGAAGTCTTTAAGCAAACGTCGTATCCAACGAGCACAGTTGGGGTGGGAAATGTAGTGATGGTATGCTTATGAAATACTTGATATTTGGTATCTATTTGTAACTGATTGATAGTATTTTTAGCTTGATCATTTACAACAGCTTTATCTTAGACTCCCTAATAGAATCCAAAACACTTTGGAGCCAACGAAACGAATTCCCAGATCTGAATACAACTAGCAGACCTACTATCTTTCCCGCATCTGTGCCGCAGCTTGTAGCAGTTTTGTGTACACAGCGCATTACACAGAATTCCCAGTATCAAAGGTAAAAGGGGATCATCGACGGCTGGCAACTGGCCATTAAGATTTAGAAAGGCCCTTCATCACGCGGGCTGCCCAAAATCGATCGAAAGTGAGAGGAGCGCGCGGCGGAGTGACAGGTACAAAAGTGAGCTAAGGTAATGGCCAACTTTTGAAGGGGGGGAGACTTTTTAGAAGTGGGTGGGGAGTCCCCTGCCCAAGTGGGAAGAGAGTGGCTTGAATCGGAATCTGAATCAGAATCGGAAAGGAAATAAGGCGCAGATTCCCGGCATGAATGGAAACCCTAGACTTTGTTTGTTTGCCTTTTGTGTTCGCATTCAAAGGCTCGCCGGGAGTCTTAAGCCCCTCATGAGCCGAGCAGCTGCTGTGCTGACACTTTTTCGGGAGGGTTTGTCCGCCCGTCCGTCCCCCGATTCAAAACTTACCGAGCTTATTGCGTAGCGGTGAGAATCAGAATCAGAATCAGACTCAGACTCGCACTCAGAATGAGAATCATAATCAGAACGAGAACGAGAACAATTCTACTGCTGATTTCACAGCCGCACTCGCACTGTGGTGCTCCGGTGCTCTGGTGGGTCAAATACCTTGGGCAAGCTCATCGGGCGACCATCTTTTTGTTTTCTCATTGAAATTGTTTATTGTTCGGCGGCTGGAGCGATGCAAATGTTGTATAAAATTCAATAAACTGCGAAACCAGTTTATCAGTTGATCGCCGAGCCCGGTTGTTTGTCAGTGAAAAGTCTTGGGCAAAAGTTGCCAAATAATAAACGCCATATGTGTGTGTACATTAAAATTAAACAAAAAAAAATATAGAAAAAAATATACGAATACAAAAAAAACAAAAAAAAAAGAGCTTCATGTCCCAATCATCATCATCAGCGTTTGTTGTCTTTGTCGCCGCGTTTTTGTTTGCGTTGCTTTTTATTTGATTTTTTTTCCCAACCATTTTTACTCTTTTTGTGTTTTTCACATTTTATGTGGGATTCAATTAAAAACTTTTGACCAGCAATTTCATAAATTTGCGGATTTATCGGCACGGGGAAAATAGCAGAGGGTGCCCCAGCCAGCCGTACACATCTCCATCGCCAACCAGTTTGATGTTAATCAATTTTCGAAACAAATTTTTGCACTTGCCGTTTGCCTTAAGCGGAACCAAAAAAAAAAAAAGCATAAAAACATGCTGCGAATGTTTTTCAAAAGGAAACATGCGCTAAATAGAGCCGTACAAGTATCTATTTACGTTTTATCTCGTTTTTTTTTTGGTTTCTCACTTGCTGGAAATTACTTAATATGCATTTAGCCGCCGTGCCTCGACCTTACATAGCTGCCTGTATTTTTTTTTTTTTGATCGATAGTTGAAAGCCGCGATAATGCCGTTTCCGCTGTGGTTTTCATCGCCAATCGAGCCAGCATCATTATGGCCATAAACCATTGATTGCCGCTCAGTTATGTGGCCGCCTGCCCGTTTGGATAATTATATTATCAGAGCCAGGCCTCCGATGGTGCAGTATAGTATATTCTGGTTCTCCAGATCGTCAGATCTTCAGATCTCCAAAGTTCGGCGACGAGGAAGTCGATTCGAGAGAGCTTTCGACCCGATTCGATTACAGCCAATCCGATCCGCTGCTTTCACTGCTGACTCAGTCGCTTTTTCTTCTGACGAAGTCCGACTATCTGTCATTTTGATTTTCCGCTTTTTGCAGGGGCACCCTGGGGCAGCCGCACTTAAAGATGGGGCAATTTTCCTGCTTCCATGGACTAAATTGAGGTGAAACCGAACGCCGCGGGTTCCACCTTAGCCAAGCATACCATTTTCCTGAAGACTTTGTTTATACAAATCAATCAGGTTGCTCATAATTGTAGTTTAGCACTTTTGCCTTACATAACTACGAAGTAGATATGTTTATAGAGAAGTGAAATGTCAGCCATATTTAATACATGACCGAAGCTAAATAGAACTAAAAACAAACAGTCGGAGAAACTAACACAGACGGCTGATCAAATATACATCTATAGTAGATATATATATCTGGTGCTAAACTGTTCAAAAGCACGTATACTGAATCCAGGAAATTCAACAGCAGAACGTGTGAACTTTTCGAATAAAAGTTTAGGAAAGTAGAGAGTAAAGTAAAAATTCGATTAGTCTGGTGTTGACCTCTTACTTCCGAAAAAACAATTTGTGTATCTTATAGTAAGTATCAAAAGCCCTTTATTCCCCTGAATGTTCAGTATCCTTCGGCCCACTGTGCAACGTGTGAATTTTGCAGCCCAGGAGAGGTTTTTGCCCCCAGCACACCGGCATAATTTACCGTTTTGGAGCTTTATCTGCCGATCGGAGATCGCAGTTCGAGTCGGGTGGTATTATTGCAGTGGTCTGGTCTGGTGGTAAGTGAATTTTTCAGAGCTGCTGTGCAAAACGGAAACCAGAAGAAGCTGACAACTTACCTGGTAGACAACGACCTCAATTAGCAAATTTGTTAGGGTCGCGTCTTTCCATGGTTCTAACCCAACTCTGCCTCTTGATGTGATGTGATGTGATGTGCTGGCTGTTGTCGGTTAATGGCGCTCTATTTCCTGTCAGTTCACATGCATCGGTCCATAATGCCTGTACCCAGGTTAACACACTCTCACACACTCTCTTTTTCTATCTTTTTTGTTACTTTTTTTTTTTTTTTGTTACTTCGGTAGGCACTTTTAACGAAAAAAAAAAAAAATGTAAAAAAATAAAGCAAGTTATTTTGCACACACTCGACGAGCACTCGCGCTGCCAATTAAAGAGCCATGTAACGTATGTTAATAAACAAAAGTTGGCGAATTCTTTCCCCAGTTTTCTTCCGCGAGAAATTCGACGCAGCGTGAGCGTCCGTTCGGCATGAAACTCGTTTCTCGACTGAACCGCTCAGCTGAAAGCGACTGAGGCTCAGCTGCAGTTGCTCGGTAGCAGCGGCGGTCACCAGCTGACGACGGCGAAGAGCGGGAGAGCTGAACCGCCGCTCCACCGCGCCACCACCACCCTCCCGCCGTGGAAAAGCCACCTTCGAACCCCCGATCTCCTCGGGATCTTGGAAGAGGAGGGAGGGTGGTGGGGGGGGGAATGTGCATTGAACGGGCCGGGCGCACGCACACGGGGCCTACGAACGGGGCTGGCCCAACCCAGCTCCACGGGAATTACAATTAATTTGACCAACATTTTTTAGCAGTACCCTCTCCACAAAGGGTACTCCCGTCCCAACCAGAATTCCACCCAAGAAATAGAGCTATTTGTTTAACTCAAAAGCGCCAAGATGAAGTTTTAAATATGAATTAATTTCTTGGCTAAAGATGCGTCTTAAACAAACTGTTAACTGTATAAAATAAATTATGTTAATTCCGAATGCAAATCAACCGAATTTGAAATCGGAAAGAGTACAACAAGCTTCGACCATGAAAACCACAACGTTCTCAGTGCAATTCCAGCTGTTGATCACGTTGGAAGCTTTGCTAGAAATGTACAAATGAAATATATAAAGGCTCCCATGCACTGGAAGAATAAACACAATGGTGATGCATTCCATTTTGATTTATTGTATATTGAATTTATTTAGATGCTTGTCTTTGGAATTTGTTCTTTAAATAATTGAATTTCCTTTCGAATCTCAAGAGAAATTCATTTCTGCCCTCTACTACAATGCTAAAATACAAATTTTGGACAAAAGAATCGAATGTATACCGTAAATGTTTTGGATACTCGCTTGCCATATACATAAAATCCGTATTGTGTGTCTGAGTTTGAGTTTATAAAGTCAATTACTGAATATATCTCACGTGATGTTAACGGTGCTGGATCAATGAATGCCTCGTGTGAATGTGAGTGATAAATGCCTAATAACTCGATCGCGTACTCACTATTCAAAAGTAATTCGTATATGTCAATTATATAACTAGAACTAGAACTATTTAGATCCATGTATATATATTAGATTTTCTATTAAAGCTGATAAATGTACTTGATCGTTTGTTATTAATTCGTATAATTTGTTAGCATTATTTCAGCTCAGCGCTGCTTTTAACAATTTTCGTGCTATTCGTTTTTCCTCGATTCCGATTCCAATTCCAATTTCAATACCAATTTCAATGTGAAATGAACTACCAAGCTTTCTTATATATATATAAGAGATCTAACTGATGCAAACGTTCCGTTTGTAAATAGTTGGGAAAAACGTGGAATTTAAGTACTAAAAATTGTATTACGACCGACAACTAACGCTTGACTACTACGAACTGTTGAGGCTGTAAATGTTACATATGTGTATAAAGACTACTACGTTAAGCTACCCATACAATAGTTCATTGGATACGTAAGGCAATTTTACCGTCTCAATCCCGCAACATAAAACCGAAACTGCTAAGCTTTAAGATATAATCATGATCTCTAAAAAATAGTCAGTGTACGAACTTCTCTAGATCCTAATTCATTTGGCTGGACTGCAAGTGTTATATGTTATGTTATGTTAAGTGTTGTAATGTCTATTTTGGAGTGAGTGAGTGTGCCCAGTTTTACCAACTGACTGCCATTCGTTGTCTATATCTCATTTGGCTGGGACTCGGTTCCTTGGCTCTGCTGGCAGGAGAATCGATTACTATTTCTTTTGTATCGTTTTAATCGTTAATCGTTTATCGCTTATCGCTTTTGGACGCAATTGGACGCCTAGAGCTGCCCGAGATCGTTGCGATCTGGGGGATTCGCTAGCTACAAAGTCGTATCAAAAATCTTAACGTACTACTAAGTGTTTGGTTTTGCAATTTGCCAGTTCTTTCGGTGGAGCAGCCCGCTCAGACCACTGTGATATGGCTTACAGTTGATTACTGCCTATCTACGGGCTGTCCGTGCAAATGGTTATCGATTTTCGATTCGTTCATAAATCAATGCTCCTCTGATTGGCTGCTTTCGAGATGCTTAGGCAAAGTCTACCCACAGAACACAGTTAGTAACAGAGTAGCAGAGGGAAAAAGTGGGACGGGTGGTGATTCCCCCTAGCCTGCGACTATTTGGGACACGGAGTTGGTGCGTCGGCGTTTGGTGATCTGCTTCCACAGGCGGCGGTTCAGCGATGGCTTGTCCTAGAAGAACAAAGTACAAAGGGTAAAATCCGGGTAAAATGATCCAGATGGAAACTCTTGTGCTGTATTACTCACGTTGTCCTTGCGCGGCGACATCTGGGCCATCTCCGCCGAGTCCTGAGCCTGCGACTGACCCGCCGGCAGCTTCTGGAGGAGAAGGCTGCTCTGGCTGTGGCTCGGATGCGGCTGCTCGCCAAAGACGCCGTCGCCGGAGTAGTTGGGGGTGCTGCTGGTGCTACTGGCGGTTATCTCCGAGTTGCGCCGCTTTATGAAGTTCATCCTGTAATTTTCGATACACTGGTTGCATTAACTATGCAATCCGGGCTCTCCTGCAATACTCACAATCGCTTCGATCGGCCCACTTCGGTCTCGAGGAAGGCCTCCTCAGTCATTGTTGTTGTTGTTGTGGTGGTTGTGGTTGTGGTACTGATGGCTCCCGCTCCGTCCATCGAAGTAGTACTCCTCGTCCTCGTCAGTGAGGCTGCTGCAGCTGCTCGTTTGGGCCAGGAAGAGTCGCGTTTCCCCGAAGCCCCCATCCCCGAACGCATCTCCGTAGCCATGGCCATCAGAGTGGTGGTGGTGCTGGTGGTGGTTGTGCTCGTCGTGGACATTGTGGACGACGTGCTCGTCTCCCTGGCTCGAAAGCCACTCCTCGATTGAGACATGGAGTATATCTTCTCGTGTCTCGCTAAGATTTCCAGATCGCCTAATTTGCTCCCGCCTCTGCTGGAGTTGCAGGCGGTGCTGCTGTCGCCGGCGCTTCCTCTCCCGCCGCCGGCTCGACCAGCAGATCCACCACCGGCCGGAGGAGCCGCCGGATACGGCTGGCGGTCCGTTTGCTCGCCGCCCGCGGCACGGGTTAAACCACCGGCGAGCGGACTGCTGCCGTGACTGCTGCTGCTGCGACTGTGATTGCTGTTGTTGGTGTTGTTGTTGCTGCTGTTGCTGGTTAAGGCGCCCGCTGAGAGGGGGCGGGGCCGGCGGTTCACCGTTGGCGTATCCATCTTTGAGTTGCGTTGTTGAGAGTACGATATGACAGCCTCTTTTGGCTGCACCCGGTTCGTGGCTGAACGACTCAATAAATCGCGACCCGTCAGACGATGAAATGTGGAGAGGTCGTGCCTGCAATAAAAGGATGTTATTAACCACCATTATTATTACCATTAATATTATATTAAATTTATTATATAAATATTATATTAATAATTTATAAATATTATATTAATATTATATAAATATTATATTAATATTATATTAATATTATATAAATATTATATTAATATTATTATTTTTATTACCATCATTTATTTAATGGATTCTTCTCAGAGTTGAACTTACCCCAGAATAGTTGTTAGATCGGGACCAGGCTCGTAGCAGATCAAGTCCTCGTCCCCGAGGATGTCGTGGTTGAGGGCCAGTCGCATTTCCAGCCTTGGACTTAATCCGCATCCAGCGTGGGGCACTGGGGCAGCGGGGGCGTCTGGCGGTGGTGCCGCTGCCTGTGCCGGTGGCGCCACTGCAGCTGGGCAGCTGATCGCCGCCCTCGGCTGCGGATTGTGACTGGGATTGTGGGTGGGACTCTGGCGGATCGGCTTTGCCGTCCTCGAGACTGTTGCTGATGAAGTGGCTGAGGCGGGCCTGGGTGCCCCCAGCAGGCAGGTCTCGATTATCGTTGAGGAGGACGGTCGTTTTGGGCCCACCGCCCCCGCCGCCGAGCTGCTGGTACTCGGCGTTGGCGGCGTTGTCCTTGACCCGGTAACGGTTGGGTCCGAAGCGCTGGCGGCGCCGCCGACAACCGCCGAGAAGCCACTGTCAGCAGTAGCGCCAGATTTTTTTCGAGGTAGCTCCTGCAAATGCCACACAGAGAAAGAAGAACAGTTTATCAAGGCCTGTAGCTCTACCAATCTTAACCCTGTTTTAAGCAGGTTTATATCTAAGAGATTGCCTAATCCTAATCCCAATCAATTTTTTGGTTCTGTTAACTCACCGTTTTGGCTTGAGCAGCGCTTAGATCGGTCTGCGTGAGAAGCAAGCGTCGCGGAGGCGGTGGCGGCGGAACAAATCTCGGAGGCCTGCCGCTGGCTCTGCCGCCGGAGTTGGTAGTGCCGCTCGCGCTGCTGGTTGTTGTAGTAATCGATGAGGGAGCTCGACCCGGCGTCATCGTCGTCGTCGTCGTCGTCATCATCGTTGTTATCGTCGTCAGTGTCGTCGTCATCATCCCGGTCGGCGTCGCTGCTGGCTTCGCCGGAGATGGAGGCGTCGGCCGAGAGGATGGCGTCGTGGTTGCTGCAGATCTGCTGCTGATCCCGTCGACGGGATCGCGTCCTTGGCCGCTCGAGGGGCGCTGATCGAGCAGATACTCGCAGGATGAGGCCACCACCACCGCAGCCGGCGGCTGAGGATCTATGGCCGTGGTGGGCAGCAGGCGGGTGGTGAGCAAGGGACGCGGCCCCATCGCACTCGTGACCAGATTCGGAGGCAGACGCTCCGCTCCGCTGAAGTGAGTACTGAGCACCTCCTGGTCCTCCGTCGCCGGATCCTCCTCCTCGAGGTCCTCCGCCGACGGATCCTCCTCCCGATCCAGCACCACTGGCCGAGGAGCTGGTGGTGGGGCTGGTGGCGCCGCCGCCTCGCTGTCGCTTGAACTTCCAGCCGAATCCTCTAGGTAGTGGCCATTGGTCGTTGCTTCCCCCTACCAATTGTTGGGAATAGAATTCAACTAATCAATTCTGGTTGGGATAGAGATTCCTGCTAGCGGTTGGCGCCTTGATTTGAAGAAGATGTGGATGAGGGGGTGGTGGTTAGTTGGTCGTTCACAGTACGGAATTTCGATAGCAGTATCGGATCGGATTCGGATCGGATCGGTTGGGTTAGTTCAGAGGTGGTGGATGGTGGTTCTGTTGTGGTGGGTCGTCTCTTGCGTCCGGACGTGTGATGTTGATGAGCTCACAGTATTGCAGGATGGGCTAAAGCTTCACTAATTTCACTACGACCTTCTATGCAAGTACAAGTAATTGTATTAAGCAACAACAATTTACGAATACAATGAACAGACAGGCAAAAAGAGTACAGTTTACATATAAAGTCAAAACATGTTAGCATGATTGATTGATTAGTTGATGATGGTGGTGGTGATGGTTGATTGGTGAAGATGAAGATGAGCGCGATGCGGCGACGGTTTATGAAAGTATAGACAAAAAGAAAGACAAACCAAAGTCAGAGGTTATTTCGACTGACTAGGGCTACATGCAAATAGATTATTTCTAGAGAAGTATAGCGGATCAGAGATAATTCCTGCCGAGCAGACTTATCTCACTTTCTCGCTCTTTTCTTTTTTTGTGCTTGGGTGCAGTTGGCCACTGTTCACGTAGTTTGCCATGCAACGGAAATGGAAGGAAACGCGAGCACTGAACACGGTTGCATTTCGATTGGAACAAAACACGGTTGCATTTCGATAGAGGCCTTTTCTTTTTTTTTTTTGTTTTGGGGCGTGTGTGGGATTTGCTGTAATAACGACCCACCTTTTTGACGTCATCGCTGTCCTGCTGCGTCTTCTCTTCGTCGCTCTCCGTCTCCTCCTCAAAAAGGGGCTCAAGACGACGTCTACGTCGATATACGGATACGATATACGAATTCGATAATACGTGTATATGGCGTATGCAAACGAATTTCAATTTGAATTTAGCAATAGTCGATCGATGTGTTGATTGTGTGTCGATAATATAAATGATATATCAATTTCGAGTTGATCAAATCTTAGTACGTTGGTAAATAAATGAACATACTGGTATAGAGAGATAAGCTACAGAGATATGACCCCACCCCATATTATCGACCTGACTATGACTATGACTGGGTCTAAAACTATCCCGCAAATGAGTGAGCAATACTAGCTATAAAGATAAATAGTGGTTACAGATAGAGATACACAATATATGGCTCTGATTCGAATCGAATTTTGGATTAGGAAAGTTACGAGTGATTGTGTGTGTGTGAGAATCGATTGAATATGAAAGGATAAACACCTGTAAAAGCTACGAAAGAAAGTTTCCAAAGGAGTACACGAAAAAAGAAAATTCGTATTCTTATTAACAGTAGGATCAATGGCACTAGACTAAGCTATACGTATACTAGGTATGGTAGATATATTATATATCGAGATACTCGGTATGGTTGTAATACAGTTAGAGATCGACTGCCTAGGGTTTCTCTACCAGCTGTGTGTGTGTGATTACTGGGTGGGTGAATCCTTTATTTATCCTTGTCCCTTACATACCGTGGCAGCAATCCTCGAATCGTACTGGCCGTCATCGGTGGCGCCATCAGCAGTTCGTCCATCATCAGTTCCGTATCGTCGTCGTCATTCAACGAGGTACTCGACTTGGTGGGCGACTGTTTGTGGAAAGGAAATCATATTGTATTGGTTAATGGTTCACCTGTATTTGCCATTAAAACCCAACCCACCGAATGTGTGTTCTCGGAGTTGATCAGCTGCATGTCCTGATCATCGTTGTCCCCGCCACTGGTGGGCGTGCCCCAGACCTCCTCGCCGCTTGTGGCTCCCGAGGTGCACTCGTCCATCTGCTCATCCGTCTCCGAGGCAGTTCCCGGCTGTTGCGGCTGCTGCTGCTGCGACTCCCCGGCATTCCAGCGACCCAAGTACTTATCGATGAAGGCCCGCGACTCCTCGAAGAAGGACATCTTGTCGGAGACATAGGCTCCCGCGCGATTCGTCCACGCCCCACTGGCCAGCACTTCGCCATTGACGACCACTCCCACTCCCGACGAACTCGGGGCCCCCAAGTCGTTGAGGTTTTGGATCAGGGCTCGATCGGAGGCCGCATCATCGTCTTCGTCTTCCTCGTGGGTCGGACTGTTCGAGTGGCCATCGTGCCCGTTCGGTGTGTAGGGCTCGAGATCCTCGTCCAGCTCGTCGGCCTCGTCCATTCGATCGTCGGAGGGCAGCTTCTCCAAGCTGGACATGGTGCCGAACCTTCGGAGGGCACTGCTCATGGGTCGGTAGGGCGGCTCCTCGTCCAGCGGCGACTCGTCGCACGAGTCCTCCGGTATGTTCTCAATGATGGCCTGCCTGGGCTGCTTCGTTGTCGTTGTGGCGGTGCTGGTGGTCGAGGTGCCGCCGCCGCCGTTCGAGGAGCGGCCACTGTTGTCCCAGACATGGGTGCTCGTCTTGGTGAGAACCGCATCCGGCGTGGGCGGGACCACGGCTATCGTGGGTGTGCTGTTGCTATCCTCCTTGTGCTGCCTGTTCTCCTGGCCACAGAGCTTGGCGGCCGGCGCGAATTGCGCCAGACCGATGAGCATCAGGGACAACTGCTCGTCGTCCTGCTTCTGCTGCTGCTGCTGCTGCAAAGTGGTGGCCGTTTGCTTCGGTGACTCGAGCAGCTTGCACGTCTGGTGCTCCATTTTGTCCGGCGAGAGCTGGGCGTTCGTGAAGTCCTCCGGGGTGCAGCGGCAGTGGCAGGCGGCGTACTTGGCGGGGGAACCACCCACCGAACCCGCACCCCCGAGCCCGATACGGATATCGATCCCTTCGTTGGACTGCTCCGCATTATCCTGGCCGTCTCCGTGATGGTCACAATGGCCTTCACCTGCTGATTGGCCTTCGGCCTGCTGAGTGGTTCCTGGCACATTTGGGCTACAATGCGGGTGCGACGTGGTGGTGGCAGTGGTTTCGGTGACCCACCACCACTGCCTCCACTACCACCACCAACACCACCGCCAGCTGAGCAATGACCGTTGGGCAAGGATGAAGAAGAAGAAGCGGCGGCGACTGGAGGATCTAGATGACGTAGTTTGGAGCCTGGCTGGGTGGCTGGGATCCCCTCGCCGGCACTGCTGCTGCTGTTGGGCATCGCGCCGACGCTGTCGTCCGTCGCCTCTGATTGCGATTGAGAGATTTCGTCGGTGATCAGTTGGGCCACGTCGCTCTCGGTGTCGCCGGTCTCCCGGCGACTGCTGCTGGCCACCACCTTCGAGGAGAGCTCCCCCGTGATGGTGCTGCTGGACATGCTGGTCACGCTGCCCGTTCCGGTTTCGGTGCCCGTTCCCGTTCCCGTGCCTGTGCCTTTGGCCGAGCGATTGCCCGCTCTGGAGGGACTGGCCAACTCAGCGGTGCCCGCCAAGCCGTTGCTGAGTTTGCAACAGCGGTTCGGCGACGACTGACTGTGCTGCACCTTTAGCGAGTTGCAGAGCAGGACGGGCGTGGAGCTGGAGTTGTTCACCCCTCCGCCTCCGCCGCCGGGACGCACTCCGCCCGGTCCGCTCTGCTGGCAATTCTTGTGGCAATGACGGCAAACGGCCAGCTTGTCCAGCACAATGGGACTCGAGCGTACGGTGATCTGGGAGCCGAGAAAGCGAATGCGAAAGAGTTGGGGAGAGTAAGCAGGGTTAGCAGAAGGAACTACAAAAAAACATGCAGGGCTTTAAAACTATTCAGTTATTATGTATGAGAGGGATAAATGAAATGATTTTATGACTTCAATTTCCCAGGAAATACATGGTTTAAAACTATTAAGTTATTATGAGGGGGAGTTAAATTAAATGATTTTACAACTTCAATTTTCCAGGGAATGTATGGCTGTCGGACAGTTACTTTAGCATACTTTTCGGGGGCAACAAGTTGGATGCAATCCAATGGTAATGTTCCATCCTCACCTGGCTGTCCGATGTGGTGCTGTGCGACTGACTGATCACACTGGTCACGCCCTCCGCGTCCGACGTGGAGTAGATATCCGATGTGGCGCTCATGCTCAGCTCCTCGACGCCGCTCAATCGCTTGCCCCCGAAATTGGGCTTCGCCGAGAGGCCACCATTCTCCTTGGCCAGATTGAGCTCCTTGGTGCGCTTCTCCAGCTGCTGGCGCGTCCAGTAGGTGATCCGTTCGTCCTGCTCACTGTCGCTGTTGAAGATCAGCTGCTCGTCCTCGGCACTCACGTTCTCCTGCGATCGGGCAATGGCCGCCAGGCGAGCCTGCTGCTGCTGCTTGTCCAGCTGGCCCTTCATCCAGTTGGCCAGGTGCAGGGCACTCGACTTCGGAGTGCCCGTCTTGTTCAGGATGCGGCACTTCTCGTCGATCAGCAGCTCGATCTGCTCCACATGACCGCCCACATGGGCACTGTGGCTGTGGCCGTGGCTATGGGAGCGGTCCGCAGACCTTTCCGTGGCTACTCCTCCAGCCGAGTGGGCGTGGCCATGGGCATTGTTGCTGCGCTGCTGGGAGAAATCCGGATAGAATGGGGGAAACATACTTTACCTGGACCCGGTGACCTCGACCTAACCACCGCACCACCACCAGCACCACCCACTGCCACCCGCCTAAAGTTTGGCAAATTAAAATTTGTGATGGGCTCATTTGCTTTTGCTTTTGCTTTTTGCTTTTGCTTTTTGCTTTTGCTTTCGCTTTGCTCAGGTGTTTGCTCTTGCTTTGCTTTTTGGCTTGCAGTTGGCGTTGACTTTGGTTTATTTCTTGCGAAGCGGAGAAACGGAACGGAAACAATAATCTCAGTCCATCTTTGATTAAAAACGCTTGCTCTTGGCTAACAATGGCAATCGGGGCAAAAGGTACTAAAGGACATTACAATATACAGTTATAAATGACACAAGTTAACGGTAACGGTAACGGTAAACGGGAGCAGGTACAGTCACACAACAAACAACTAATAAGCAATGGAAGTTGAAATCAGTTTTTAGAATAAGAAGAAGCAATTCGAACTTAAAACTAAAATTGAGTCCATCACAATTTTTAATTTATCAATTTTGGTTTTTGTTTTCATTCTTTGTTTGAAAAAGATTTTTGTCGTTTTTTTTTTTTGTTGTTTTTCTGGATAGCATGTTTAACCAGGATCTGTTTTTCGGAGCTTTATGGTAATTCAGTGAGTGCTCGGTGGGTTTCTACTTGATTAATTTTTTTTCATCTGTTTTTTTTTTTTTTTTGGTAGTGAAATAAATGCAACATCACAAGCGTTTTTAGTCAAAGAATCATTTGGTTTTTATTATTATTTGAATTCATCGTTTCTCTTCGCAATCTCAATCTCAAACGGATCGATTTTAGATCCTCTCGTGTTATGTAAAATGTCGAAAAACAATAAATCGAAAACTTCTAGACGTACATAAAGTTTACAGATAATGAATATGAATCTAAATAGTATGTATATATATGTATATATATATTAAATATATATATATATAATGTGTATAGAAATTGTTTGTTTACTGCTCAAGGCACACACAAAAACCGAACCGCAAAAGACAACGCGGCGTATGCTTGATATTCAACAATCAGTTAAAATTTGCAATAGTTCGCTGTGTGCAGGTCTGTGTGGGAGTGTATTTGTGTGGGTGCTTGCTAAGTGAACTCCTGGCTGGATGGCTTTTCACCAAAATGAATTCGCACTGTGGGACAAAATGACAAAGTGGCTAAGACAAATGTTGCTACGTAATAAATAAATGATAAAAATCTTAAAAAACATTGTTAGAAAATCTACTAAAGGTAGTATTTTTAAAATATTAAATTCTAAATATAAAGCTTAAAGCTTGTTAAAAAGTTGTCTAGTGAGTATCTAGGAATTATAGTTTAACAAACTACTCCATATTTTGTGAACTTTGTCCCACTGTGCAAAGACAGTCGAGTGCAGATTAATATATTTATACGTAAAATATGTACGTGGCTAGCTTGAAGATAGACTTTCAAGGCAACGAAGTGCTTGTCATAGATAATTGACGTCGATGGATCGATCAGATACATAAAAGTAGCAAATGTGGTTTGCCACCCAGCCAAAGGTCCTTCGACTGAGCAAAGTTTCGTTAGAGTTCAAGATACACATACTGATAAACATTAAGACGGATTCTGTATATAGGGAAGTATTTTATATACAACTTGGATTTGGATTTGGATTTTGATTCAGATTTTGATTTACTTTGTGTTGTGGCCAATCGAGATGAACTTATCAAGGTTAATCGAGTAATCGAGCGAGTCTCTAAGAGATTTGGCTAATGGTCAACTTAACATACGAGGAGGATCCGATCCGAGGCGATAATTTCGGGGAATTCGGGGTAAAATAATGCTAGGCTAATGTAGGATAACAACAGCAATAACAGTAATCAATTTGGCTACAAAATGGAAGCAATATTAACATTAGTATAATTTGATTTGGGTTTTCTCTCAATTCTTTGGGTTTTTATTTTCCTTGGATTGGCAAAAAAGTTTCAATCGAATGGTTAATACGAATAGAGTGAATAGGTATTTGCACATATACGAGTATGCGTATGGTAGGTAGATATATATAGTATATCTATAAGCTAAAAACTCTTGTAAAACGCAAACCCCGATGGGGTTCCGTGCCGCAGATTTAGCATCTGTGCTCGTGTATATTTGACTAGCTAGTATACATATACATATGGCTATATCTAAGGTGTGTATACTACGTATACGCAAGTATATTACTAAAAAGAGCTAAGTACTAGCGTTACTCTCATTCAATCGTATTCGGATCTTTGTCTCTGCTCTCGTCCGAAGATTTATTGCTATTTACACTCGATTCAAAATCGACTTGGATGGAACGAATACCATTTACGGGGAGGCTTTCCGATGAACAACAATAATAGGGTTTATGGTATGGAAGTCAAAACACGAGTATATACAATACACAATACACAACAGAGATACACCTAGAGACCGATGGCTATGTGTCTATGTACAACATTCCACGAACAATTGTCACTTCTCACTCGCAATTAGAGACAATTAAAAACATATGTGTAGCTTCAACACTTCAAAAAGTGTTTCTCCGTGAATAAATATCCTTGAGAAATATCTGAACAGCTGAAATATTTGGCGGTGTCACAGAGATCTCAAACCTTTTCAATGGATTTGGGCCTCTAAGAATTTCTGTGTCAACTGCGAAATTTCAAGTATGTTCTACGTGGTTGATAAATCTCTTTTGCTACTTGTCACGCGTTCTTCATCTTATCATTCTGTCTTTTTTTCTGATATCCTGGCAAAGTCAATCCCCGATCTTCCAAAGACAGGCTGCCACTTTTCCGTAAGATTTTGATTGTGAGAGCATGGGAAACATGGCAAAAAGCTGGGGCAAAAGCAGAGCAAAACGTCGATTGAGCAGGGAATTCGAATTCGAGTATATATAGAGATATAGAGAGGAGGTTCTAAGGGTCTCCTTAGTTTTTCGGGTAGATCAGTGGTAACATAGTGGAGTAAGCTCGTCGAGATTCAAAGATTGTGCGGCATGGGGCTGTTGACGGGGTCTGACTGCAGCCAGAAGTCAAATCACAGGTCCAGCGAGTCCGGCGGCGTGGGTCTGGTGGGTAGCATGCCGAAGGGGTCGTCCACCACCACGCTGTCCTCCTCCTCGTCACTGTCCTCGTCGGGGCCCTGGCCCTCGACGCCCTCCCTCTCCCTGTCCCTGTCCTCCTCGTCGCCCAGGAAGATGCACTCCTCGACATCCGTGTCGTAGCAGGGGTCAAGGTTCACCTCGTGCAGCTGGAGGTCCAGCTCCAGCAGATCCCAGGAGCCCCCGAACTCGGCCAGGGGAATGTTGGCCGCCTTTCCGCTGGTGGACGTTGCCACAAAGTCGTTGGAGAAGGCGTCCGAGTTGCACGGATGCGAGGTGGTGGGCGAGATATTGGGAGTGGGTGTCTCCGGGGTTGGCAGCGACACCTGACCACCGGCCACTCCGCCGGACTCGTCGATGAACGAACGACCCACCGAACTCAGGCTGAACTCGAGGAGTTTCTGCGAGGGATGCGGGTTCATGGGCGGCTCACTGGTCACCTCCGGAATGGCCGTCAGGCACTTGCAGCTGGACAGGGAGAGCACGGAGGTCTGCGTCTGCGAATGGGTCGACTGCGAGTGGTTTGTGGTCTGGGTGTGGACCTGCGACTGCGTTTGCACCAGGCTGGCACTGCTGCTCAGGCAGGAGCCGCCCAGACCCACGCCATTGGGCACCGATCCACCCACGTGACTTTGACCGTGACCGTGACCTTGGCTGTGACCGTGACCGTGACCATGACCCGACTGCCGGTGGTTGGTGCCGTGGGCCGGCGAGGTGGTGCGCGAGGGCAGCGAGGTGGTGCAGAGCGGCGGCGGCGGCGGCGGATGCGGATGCGACTGCGAGTGCGACTGCGTCTGCGTGGCACTGCTCGTGGTGGTGCTGGCACAGTGGTGCCGCACCGCACTGGCCAACCGCTGGAGGTTCTCGTACGAATCACCGCTGTCCAAGCGCTTGCTGCGAAAGAGACGCACCTGCTGTTTCTGCTGCTGCTTCAGGTGGATGCTGTCCAGCGAGGGCAGCTTCATCGATCCCATCGAGGCGGTGGTCAGTCCGATGTCGCTCAGCGGCACCAGCGTGTTCAGCACATCCGGCGAGTCCAGGGGACTGGACAAGGGCGTCGATCCCAGAGCGGCATTCACTAGAAATCTGTTGGTAAGCACAAAACACAAATTAGGTACTCCATCTTGTTTGGTTTCTCGCTGAAGAGTTGGGCGACCCTTGGAAGTAAGTTATCAACAAGCTTCGGAAGGGTTTCGCAACCCCTCAAGTTTCAAGATTCCTTACATCTGCCGCTGCAGAAGATTCTGCCAAACAGCCTTGAGTTCCAGCGAGGGCGCCCTCAAAATCAAACTCTTGCGGCGGGCTCCTCGTTTCGGAGTGCGCGTCAAATCGGGGGCACAGTACCCCGTAGGACTCTCCGCCAGACGTCCATTTGGATCCACCGTGAGTCGAAACTCGGTTGCTGCAAGGGATATAATGAATATTCAATTCAGGAAGGAGAAGGAGAAGCCTGCTCACTTTTCTTGCGCATATGGAAACAGGAGTCCACCACGTTGGCGATGGGAATGGGCTCCTCGGTGATGAACAGGACTCGATCGCGACTGACCTTTGCGAACACGATGATGTCGCTGAAGAGCAGCGTCCAGTACGGTTTCACCGAGCGTCCCTCGACTCGGGACAGGTCGCCGCCGAAGATCCATTGGCGACCCTGGACGGCCAGCGTGAAGGGCTTGCACTTGGTGAAGACCATTCGGGACTCGAGGTCTTGGAGCGTTAGCAGAGGGCGACCCTCGCCCAGCGGCTCCATCAGACCGCTGCTCACCGTGATCTCGCGATAGGCGGCCTGCAGTTCGTTGATGACCGTGCTGAAGTTCTTGTGCTCCTCGGTGTCCACGTGGCAATTCCCGGCGAGCAACTGCATCAGCTTCAGGATCTCACGGAAGTGCTGCAGCGGCCGATGGATGAACATGGTGAGATCGGGTCGCTTGCGCGGAACCGCCGGCTCGGTGATGAAGGCAATGAACTCGGAACCCGTCTGCCGGGACTTGTTCACCAGGACACAGTCGGCCCGCTTGATGCCGTTGCAGTACTTCTTGTACGCCGCACAAATCGCCGTCGTCTTCGACAGGTAGACCCGCGAGGCGAAGTTCATGTGCGGCTCCTGGTCCTGCTGGTCGCTGCTGCACAACTGCTCCAGGATGTCCTCGGCGATCCGCAGCAGTTCGTCAATGTTTTGAAACAGGGTGCGGTGATCGTTGGGGGAGATCAGGTCCTTTCTCTCCACCAGCGGCTGCACGAATCGATCCACTCCGAAGTGTAGGGCAGCCGTGAAGTTCTGCTCCCGACTGATCAATTGCAGCAGGAAGCGCCGACGGTTGTCCGTGATCGGCACAATCGACTGTCCAAGAGGTGTCAGTTATACAGATTAGTAAGGTCTTTGAGTGGTGAACTAAGAAAATTAACAGAATGAATTGGAAAGCATGGTGTTTTCGGGGTGAAGAGGGTAGGGTTTCGTGTAGGACCAATCAAAATCAAAACTCAATCATTTGGGATTGAAAAAAAAGTTTATTGTCAAGCGTTGTGGGGTCGCAGGGAGCGTAAGGACTCTCGAACAAATTAGAGGCCTTGGCTAGGCAAAAAAAAAAGGATAAATATTTAGATAATAGTAATGGTAACCAGCATGGCGATAACTTAGGCGATAAAACTTAACAAGTAGGTAGGTATGTACACAAACACAAGGTCGAGAGCAAATCAAGAAAATATAAATAAAGGCAGATGCGGGGCTCAAACGAAGACACCTTTGCCTACCTCCTTGCTGAAGGTGACCTGCGGCAGGTGGAGTCTCCTCTTGGCCGCCTCGATGGACGAGGTGGTGCCGGAGCAGGCGGTGGCCGGTCGGCTCAGGCTGTTGCCCACCGGCTGAACTCTCGAACTGGCGGTCCGCTGCAGACTCATCACGGTGGTCGTGCCGGTCGTCGTGGTGGCCATCGTGTGCTCCTCGCTCCCGAGGCCAATGGCCACGCCCAGGCGACCGCTTATGTTGGCGTTGTGGTGGTGGTGGTGGCCCAAATCCGTCGTGAGTGTTGTGGCGCCCGCGCCTGACCTTCTGAAAATCTCCAACGTCAAGGACGAGCCCTGCGATCGTATCAAGTTCAGAACATCAGCCTCGGGCATCGTGACCACGTTGTGCTTGTCCACAAAGATCACGTAGTCGCCGGGCAGGATGCCGCAGCGATCGGCGGAGAGTCCCGCCTCGATCTTCTCCACCCGCGGCGGATGCGTCCAAACGATGGAGAAGCCGAAGCCCCGCTCCTCGGTTCGCGTGAGTCGCTTGGTCATCGTGAACGGCGTTCGTCCCTGCTGCTGGCGGCCAGATCCTCCTCCTCCTCCTCCTCCTCCGCCGCCTCCTCCGCTGGACGGTGGCATCGTGGACTGTCGCCGGCCGCTGGATCCACCGTTCAGGTGGTTGGCATTGCTCTCGTTGGCCTTCGATGCCGAGGACTGGCCACTGGCGCCCGTCGTCGGGGCACCGGTGGTGCTATTCGCATTGCCGTCCGCGGGGGGATCGAGCTCGAGGAACCGCAGGAAGAGGTTCTCGTCGGCGTCGCGCTGGTGCAGCGCCTTCTTGCTCAGCTTCATCGGCTGCTGCGGCTGCTGGGGCAGCAGGGGATCCTCCTTGCCCATGCTGTCGATGCTGATGCTGATCACCTCGTCGTTCAGTTGCATTGCGGCCGAGTTCGATCCCGATCCGGATCCGGTGGCCACCGGTGGCTTCTGGGGCGTGACGGTGACGGTGGCGGCGGCTGCCATTTCTGCGCTCGAGTCCTTCTCCTCCTTCTCCTCCTCCTCGTGGTTATCCTGATTCTGCTCCGCTTCCGCTTCCGGTGGCGACTCCCGCTTCCGATCCTGGCCTGCGTTGGCTTTCGTTTGACTCTGGCGGTGATTAGGCGGCGGCGGACATGCCTGCGAATGCAACTTGTAGGAGCCTGCGGTGGTGCCCGAGTCCGGATGCACTAGCTCATTCAGTGGAAAGGTGCTGCAGCCCAGGAACTCGCTGCGTCTGCAAAAAAATTGTGAAATAAGTTAGTCAGCGGAATTGGTTTCCAAGGAGGTCTATCATTTATGAAACAAAAGGAGTCAGCTTAAAAAAAAACTTTGGGTTTCTAGATTTTTCTGCTAAACTACGAAATTCGTTCCTTGGATAACTTTTCGAGGCTTCCTTCCAACAGTCACCTGAATATTTGATTGCGAATGATTGAATCAAATGGATATGCTGAAGGAGAACTGGACAAACTGAGAAAACTAACAAGGCAATTTAATATACATGAGCGGCTCGTCCGCCGAAGCCCTTGGCCCCTCTCGCAATTGCTCCTCGATAGCACAAATTCCGATTTCGGTCAGTTTGCGTCACGTTGCAACCTCTGATGGACATTGTCTATTTATAAGCGACTGAAGGTGGTTCGCCCGCAGCTGATCCAATCCGTTTCCCGGCCACAAAACACAAACTGGAGGAGCACAAACCGCCGTAGCACCTAGTTTTCCTGGTCGTACGTGACATAAATCAATTAGCGGCCCTAAGCTGCTGCCACATTCCACAATTCCACATGCCACAAAAGTACGTACATGTGGCCCGGAAATGCGCTTGGCCAATTTGCTGGGTGGGTTAGCTCAGTGGGTGGTGGGGTGGTGGGGTGGCAGTGCGGTGGGTGGTTCAGCGGGTGGCATGACAGTGGCTTGAGGCTCTGTCTGCTGCTTCTTCCACTGGCCACTTTAGCTGAAGTTGGCGCGCGTATTTGGGTCACTTTTATTGATTTTCCGTGTGCGGAGTCCGGGCTTTCCTTCTCTATATACTATGTTGTTGTTGTTGTTTCTGTTTCTGTTTCTGTTTCTGTTTCTCTTTCTGTTTTTGTTTTTGTTTTTCCTCCTTTTGGTTTTTGTTTTTGGGGCGATTGCAATCGCAGCTGTCAGTTGGGAGGTGCATTAAAAATGCTTTAGCTTTACCACCTTCCACCTTATTTTTGCCCTCTGGGCTGTGCCGAAAAGCTGGCCATAAATTATTCAGCCGCCAGTCGTTTTGTAAATTGACTTAAAACGTTCCTTTTTGGCCTAGACTATTTTCACAACTCGGCTGAAGGTAAATTATGCATGGCCAACAAATAAAGGCAGGTGCGTGTGAGGCAGCTAAATGGAATAGGTGATATGGTTCCCGGGTGTACATTTAGTTAGTTGGCCACTTCAATTAGCTGCTGACAGCACACAAAAAAAATGATGGGGCAGGAGGAGGGAGGAGGGAGGTGGGAAGGGGTGTGTGTGTGCGTGAGCTGGTGATTATTGCATAATCGCCTTAACTATTCGCATCGATTTGGCATTAAACTGAGAACTTGACCGCGTTCCCTGTTTTTTATGATTATTTCTCAAGAACTCCACTCCTGAGTGTCCTTGAATTTTAATTAACTTTGAAGCATGCTGCGAAAAGCCCTCACACAGATACTCCGAAACACGCACACACAGACACACACACGCAGGCAGGCAGGACTTCCACTTCCTGTTCGCAATTTGTTTAGCAGCATGCCCGAAATTATGCTACACATTCCATGCTTTCGCACGCACACACATACACACAGACACGGACACACACACACACACACAGTTATATAAGATTCCGTTGCATACTTTTTTGGGCACTAGAATTTCAATCTTGCAACACTTTCAAAAAAAAAAAAGAAAAATGTACATTCAGGATTTGGGGAACCGCAAGGATATAAACTTTTCTAGGCTTACTTTGCCTCGATTTCCTGCGTTCTCGAGCGTTGCCAGCCGTTTTGCCGTTCGCCGTTATGTGTCGCTATTCACGCGAGCTTGCCACTCGGACTGAGTAACGGGAACTGAGCTGGGAAAACTTCGGGAAAAGCACGGAGCGCAGCGCAGGTCAGCCCAGCAGGGAAAGCCGCTGGAAGAGCGTCCCCGAGCCACTGCGCCCGCGCTGGAGGGCTGGAAAGCTGGAAGGTTCAACGGGCAAACGGGCAAACAGGAGGGGCAGGTGCTTGTTTATGTGCAGGAAATGCACTGGGATTGCGAACGGCGCTGGAGGTGCCACGAGGCCAGGACGAGCGCCACAATTAACCAGACTTGGTCTTTTGCCTGTCTGTGGAGTACAGAGGGAGCCCCCGCTCCCCCTTCCCCCCTTCGCCGCTTCACTCCCTTCCAGAACTTCCCCCAGATAAACGTTTAGGGGTGAATGACTTGCAAAAGGACGAGAGGAGTGGTGAACGATGATGATGGCACGCGCAAAAAACAAGGATATCGACTGGGGGTCAATCTGGTCTTGTTTTCCCCCTGGAATCTTTGATTAACCAACTGACAGTTGAGGATATACTATATGTATAATAAAATCCTATAGGGGCATTAACATGAACTCATTCAAAGCCCTCGAACTTTCTGTGTCCGCTCGAAACCTCGAAAGGAACCCGGCATAATAATAATAATTTTGCGCTGTGTAGCAATCAAGTTTAGGGGTTACTTTCTTGTTGTTTTTCTTGGCTTTCGACCGTACTCGTACTCACTTTAAATGGCGATCCCGATGCCATACGGCCAACTGAAGATGCTGGCCCGTAGTGTCCTCGCCACTGGAAATCGGGAAGCTGAACCGCTGATCGAAGTACGGGCGACCCGAGTGCCGATGGACGGCGGTGCGTTGATATCCGGAGTTCATGCTGCCGCCGGACGAGTGGCCTCCGCATCCGGTGGTGGGCTGGGCTCCGCCGGCCAGAGCCACCTTGACGTAGGCATTTATGCTGCCATTTCCACTGGCATGGGAACGCTGCAGATCCCGACAGCGAATCACTGCAACCGAGAACGAGAGACGAGGGAAACAGAACAGGTGCAATTAAAAGGCGGTTTACGTAATGAATCTCTTGAGCTGCCGGGCAAAATGGGGGGATTTCGAGAGCCTCAGAGAGCTGGCTCCCTGATAATCCTATTTAACTATATTGAGTTGCGTCTGCATTCCGAAGGCAATGTGCCCTTGGCTTCTGTTTCCCGTTTTGCTGGCTCGCTACGGCAATCTAAATTAAATTCATTGGCCGGATTAAATTCGGTTGAGGCAGCTTGGGAGCTGGTGAACTGAAAACAATATACCTGATTGGGAGGCTACTTTGTGCGAAGGAAACTTGCGATTTCAATTTAATTTATGCAACTGAGTGTAGTGCGGTGCCTAATTCGACTATTAATCAATATAATTGGCGTTTTGCGGGGACCTTTGGGGGCTTTGGAACTCACCATGTACATTGAGTAGCTGCTCCTTGCTGTTGTACGCAATGCTCACATCGATGCTGCCCCGCTGGCTTGCCTCAGAATCTGTTGCCCCACTGTTGCTGCTACTGGTGGTGCTGTGGGAGGGGGGCGTGGCCGGGGAGGAGGCCAGCGAACTCCTTTTGGCCACCTGCTGCTCATGCTGATGCTGATGCTGATGCTGTTGCTGCTCGTCGTCATCCAAGTCACTCGAGGCGGAGCTCGAGGAGAAGCTCAAGCAGCGCTTGATGCTCGGGATGAGCTGCAGCTGGTCCACCTTCTTCGTCTTCTCGTGGCCCTGCGTGTGGTGTGCGGTGGCGGTGGTGGTGGCTTTGTGCGGGTTCTTGCGCCGCACCACCCGCTGCCTCTTCAAGTGGGTGGGTGTGCGCACCTCCATCTCGTGGAAGCTGCTCTCGCTCCACTCCCCGTTCTCCGCCAGGATAGTGGCTGTCGTAGTGGTGGTGGTTTTGCTGCTCTTGGTGGTTGTGTCACTACTGTGGGTTCCATCGGGCGCTGCTTTCAGTGGCTTCGGGCACCGCACCTCCTTTCTGGCCGACTCGATTATGGCGTCCAGCATGCGATCCAACGTGGTGTCTCCCATTCGCGATGAGGATAGCTGCGAATCTTCGAGAGCCACAGCAGCGGCTGCAGCTCCACCGACGCCACCGACAACTGCACCGCCGGTGGTGCGAGGCAAACAACGCAGAGCCGCCAATTGGGGCGTCGCCTGCCGCGGACCACTTCCCTCGCTGAAGCTCCTGCGCTGCGGACTCTTTCCGTGCACGTTGCTCAGATCCTGGAGAGCGATCAGGCTGGCGTTGCCGAAGGGACTGCTCATGAAGTGCACCCCGAAGTTCTCCTTGTTGGCGTCTCCCGCTCCCGGGACTCCTGCCCCGCGCCGCCTTCCCCGCGACTCCTCCACCACGGCACTGGAACTCGAGTGGCGATGCATCCGTGTCATGGTAGGCATATCCTCACTGGAAAGGACACGCAAAGAATGGGAAACACATGATTAACTTTAGAGTTTAGATTCTCTAAATTCTTTTATCTGAACGAAACTTTGTGCGGGGTCACCGTTTTGGGAAAAGGGGGTTTTAAATTTTGAAACAACAGCATTTAGTTAAAACCTGACTATTTTCGACATTTCCAAACTCAAAACTGAAACAATAGAAGGACTACGTCGGAGTGATATACCTTTTTTTTTTACTCGTAACAACCAGCCAATAAATACTGCATTTAAATTTAGAACGAATTACAACAAATTTTTTTTTGCAAAATTTTAAAATTTTTGTAAAGGGGTCCCCTCATAAATTTTTTTAAAATTAAAAAAAAAATTTTGTTTTGTTTTACCAAATATAAAATTGAAAATTAAGAATTCAGATTTGAAATTAATCAAGTTTTGACCAAGTTATGTCAATAAGTCAAAGCCCAACATATGATTTTTTGGCTTTTTTCACCTTCTCATAGAGTTTGTCTTATCGCTTCTCTTAGTAACAGTTTTGTGCAAATATAAAAATAGATTTCGCTGGATGCTCTTTCTTGTCGTGTTGGCAAATCGGGTCGGTTTGGTTAGGTCCTTGGTCCTTGGTCCTCGGCAGCTGGCTGCCAAACAAGGGGAACAGAGCGACGGGTTCCGATCTGGTTTCGCTTTTTCCCATTCTTCTGCTGTCCTTCGGTTTTTGGGAACTCTTTCAGACAATTTCGAGGCAGAAAAACAACGGCTACAAATGAAGAAGGCAGACTGGCAAACAAAGTGCAGTACAAAGCAGGATATTGCAAATTGTTTTTGCGGCAAACGAGTTCTGCGCCAGGTCCTTCCATCATCGCCGCTATCCTTGCGGATTTCAGGTTTGCATTTAAATTGAAATTAAACTTATGCTAATTTCCCGAACAGATTTCTGCGCTGCGGTTGCCAACCATAAAATTGAGCGAATCCGTTGGTCTTAGGCTTTTAAGGATGCTCGATGGTGATGGTCTGCGATCCTTTCTTTAGTTGTCTGCGTGTGCGTGTGCGTGTGCGTGCAACAATTACGCCCCAGCATAATGATGCCATTTTGCAAAAATGCGGCAATCGGCAAAGCCAAAAGGGGCCTCAGAGGATCGTCCCAAGGATCTTTGCCATTGTCTCTCTGCCGGAGAGCGAGAGGGAAAATGGGTTTTCGTGTAATCCATAAACGTCACCCCAGCCCCAGAATAAGATGAAAAGCCGGGCGAAATTGCACGAGGAAAGGCAGCCGGTAAAGGCGAGCAAAAAAAATATTTTCTTTCCAGCCCAAGATCCTTCGCAGGATCTGTGTGTGCCTGTATGCGTGTGTGTGTGTGTGTGTGACTTGTGCCCGAAGGATTAGCTCAGGGTGGAAGAAAAAAAAGAAGTTGAGGGGGAAAAAACGCAGCAACAAATTAAATGTATTAGAGAACGCACCACCCCTTTTCCCTTGTGGGCCCCGAGATCTAGATCTGGATCTCCGTCTCTAGGGGTTACGGACCTACGTACGTCCCTTCTTCCCTCTCTCCCTCCTCTTGGCGAAATTAAAATTAGAGCTAGAGCAAAGACTAACACGACTACCGCATGGGTGCGATCGCAATTGTTTTTTTTTTCCAGGTGTGCCTTCGTTTCGGAAACCGAGCTTATCAACCGATCGATCGATCGTTCCAAATGGACGCATCGTATCAATCACTCACTAGGCACAGATTGTGTGTCTTGTAGGGTATAGACTTACCTGGTAACTTGATCTGCTTGCGACTAGGTCGCCTGAAGAACTGCAACTCAGTCGACGAAATAATTTAAGTTGTTTAAGGCCACTGCTTTAACTAGGTAAAGATATCTTTTCCACTCTGCAGCTCACAAAATTTTGATGAATTTTTGCACGAAAAAAAAAAAATAAGTCAAATAAGTTCTCAAAGCCAAAAGTGTTGTGAGGGTTTTTGAGCTCGTAGTTCACGTGTCTGCTTTGCACGAGGTCAGAAACGGAAATGATGATCGGCGCATGCGTACGCTTCTGCAAAGTTCGGATCAAAAGCCGAAGTAAAACGAAGACTCACGAAGTTAAACGAAGTGGAAAACCAACCACCAGAATGGGAAAAATAAGAGTAATGCGAGCAGAGTGGTTAAAAACTCTCTTTGCCTCTGGTTTTGTGAACTGACTAAAGGAATCTCAGCCAAAAAAAAAAGGCTAAAGATTAGATAAGAAATTAGGAGGCTACCTAAATCAACAGTTATATATTATCCTATTATATATTTGGGGGAACAAAAATAGTTATCAATGAACATGTGATAGGGGAAAACTAGGGAGCCAAGTGGGGATTTCGTGGGAAAGTTCTAAAGTGTCTTGTGGTGGTGCCATAATGATTTACAGGGGGTTTTAAGAACCGTTAACTACAATGTATGACTTATAAAAAAAGTATAGAAAATCAGATAAAGCTTAGTATTACATTTGAACTAAATAAATATAGGGTTGTTAATCAAAATTAAATTAAAACTATGAAATCTCATGACCAGTAAATAAGCTAAAATCACTAAACCAAATAGGGATTTTAGCCATATCTCAGGATCTCACGACCTCAGCTGATCCAAGTTTCAGCCACCGACCAACAGGGGGCGCTGGTAAAAAAAAGTAAGAGCACTCTCCGAAAAGCAGGAAAACCTCCTGTTGAACCCCTCTCTTCGCATCCCTACTCTCTCCGCTCTTCCGGTGAAAGAATGGAACCGCTTCGCTAAGCAGGTAAATCCTGGCCGAATAGATCCTTTGTGTTTGGCCAGACTTTGCTTTTTGCCTCTGCCCATATCCTGAACAATGATCTGGTCTCCGGGCAGCTGGCGAGGAACTGTAAAAAAAAACGGAGTGGGAAAAGAAAGGAAACCCACACGGCGACGTCGCAAGGTGTCTTAGCCCAGATTTGTCTCGTGTGCTGTCCAAAAATGTGGAACAATTGGCGAGGGAAGCGGCAGGAGCAGAAGCCAAGATATTCGGGACTACAAAAACAGTAGCCTAATGTCTCTGTCCAGGGATATCGGTCATTACTTTCACTTTGATTTGTACTTGGTCCCTAAAAATTCCATTGTACGTAGGCGGCAATTTACGAGCCGAAGCTTCGGTAAATATTTGCTCAGATGCCCAGATGCCCGGGATCCTAGCCTGGCATCCTTGCAGGACTCGTGCCCTATATTAGCAGCCGGTTGGCCATGTTTATGTGACGTGCGCTGTCGATCTTGGCATTTTACGAGCTCCCATCAACTTTCCGACCCAGAAGAGTATTCAATATGATCATAATGGCAATGCAATACCCATTGCGTATTCCTTGAGGATTGCGGGGGAGGTTGGTTGTTGGAGGTCACGTTTTCGTGGAAAACGGAGTTTCCCCGAAACTTCGGTCGAGAGTACTTCACAATTCGGTTGCCCAATCCCGCTGAGACAGCTCGAGTCCTTCAAGAGTCCTTCAGCCGGAGTCGGACAGCTGTGGATCTCTGTTGTGTCATTCCATCAACAGTCAGTAATTCAGCTGACAACTGATGGAAACTTCTTGACTCCTTGGAGGTTTTCCACACGAATATCTAATAGGCCGTCAAATAAGGTCTTTGTGTTCTTCATGGGTTCGTGGTACATTTAAAAAGACTCTGAGCTTTCTTAAAGGCTTTATTAATATTTAAATAATAACAACTTGAGATAAAATCCTATTTGGATAATATAACTTATTGAAAATGGAATGATAGCTGTTTCTTTATACTTGAGCTTAATGGTTAACCCCCATTTCCTTGTTGATAATCGTATTTTGCCATCTAATTCAGCCCACCTCTATTCGATCTTTTCAAAGGCAAAAGGAGTGCGCTTAACCCTCTGAAAAACTCAACCATGTTTGCGCTTTTCATGGCCGCTGGCCAAGATTCGAGGGCAGATTCGAGGCTGATCCTTGTCTAGGTAATTGATACGATTTCCATGTTTTCGTAATTCGCGCTTCATTAGAATCGAAATTAGCAACAACAACAGACATCAGTTCGGTTGATGGAAGGGTTACGTCCCGATATATTCCGTTGAATCCCGGGGTTGATTTGCTATTCGGCTGCATTGCAAAATTGATCTAAATCGATTATAAATTCAATTTGAATCCCGATCGCGTCGAGGGTTTGGCAAACTAATTGCAAATGCATTAGGCATTAGCCTTTTGGGTTGACACCAACCTAAACCCCTTGACATATTTTGGGTGGCCCGAAATTTGCCTAATTTGTGCGAAACTTGATTTCCGCATGTAAGCGATAAATATTGCGGATTTCGGGGATTTGCGCGAAATTTGCATGTCAAAGTTGCCCAAGGAGAATGCAAATGTGGGAAAGTCGTCGAAATACGAGAATTCCAAGAGGGAAAGAGAGCTTCATTCAGATAGAGAGGGAAAGGGAGAAGGGACCTGGGAAAATCGAAGAGGACTTTTGATTGACAGGCCAACAAGACGCGCCCCGAAAAAGGACTTTGCCGCAAAGAGAGCAAGGCGACGACTCCGATGTCCTTGTTTTGTTTTGATATTCACTTCACACAGATACACACGCTGATCTGCTTTTGCGTTCGCTTGAAATCTTATAAATGACCAAAAAATGGCAGCCACCGCTCAACGGTTGTTCGAGGTCCTTCTCCGAGGTCCTGCCGCTGTTGCCAGGAGCCGTCGAACCAAACACAAAAACTCTGGGGGGTGGGCAGAGCACCCTTCTCAAGACTGCATTTCCTAAAAATCAAATTAGTGCAGCGCTTTTTTCCACTCTTATTCCCTAACAAATTTCAGTTTTTTTTTTCCTCCTCCCGAATTTGCATTTCTCACAAAGAAGGTTCCTCGGACGCGGTGGAAAAAAAGGTTTATCCACCCGAAAAAGCGAGGAAAAAAAGAGTTGTCTGCAGTGCAGATCCCTTGGCCCTCAAGTCCTGTGTCTGCAGTTGCATCCTTTTCGTCCTCGTACCCACAAATATTTCTCAGACATTGCGGCGCCCTCAAGCAATTTGACAAGCAGCTAACGAAAAAAACTCAAAAAAAACGAAAACGAAAACGAAGGAACAGAACGAAGCAGCCGCAAAAAAAACAGAGATTCGAAATAATGCAGCTCGGTTTTTAGCCAAAAAGCCCGAGGAAAAAAATCTAGGAAACTTGTTATGCAGCATGTCAAGTCGCCGAATGACATTTGGCAGCCTGATTTACGAGGCCCCAGGCTCCGATTTTCCTCACAAGCGCATTTATCGGATGCGGCTGCTGCAGCCTGCGATCCGATTCTCGACAGGATCTTAATTTCGGCGGTTACCCAAGTCTGCAGACGCTCGCCGTGGGTCCTGGCCAGAAAAAAATGAGTGAAGCTGAAATCTTAACGGCAAAATTTAAAACAGATAAAACATTCCATGTTATGTGGGATTTTTCCAAAGATAATAGCTATAATTGATTTCAATCCAATTCGGAATTTACATAGTACCAATTCTTTTGAATCGATATTAAATAGCTCTTACATTTCTTTTTGCTTAGTAAAATCTGTTATATAGCATTTTAAGAAATTGTTTGACCCCTCAACCTTCAGAAAACTATGATTTATTCGTTGTTCTTGGCATGGAGGTTAAAGATCTGGGGAAATCGGCAAACAATCTTCGATTGCAGATGAACCCACACCTTTGGCCACCGGGTTAATGATTGTCCATTACAAACGATCAATCAACCTCGGGTCCACCGATCGATCTGCCGCCTACAAGCTGCTTTTAATGGCTCACTCAAGCACCTCGACTTGAACCCCGATCCCAAACGATCCAAACCGATCCGTATCGCTCAATTGGAGTGCTGCCACATCTATGATCTCTGGCCACTTCCACATCCACTTCCGGGACGAACTGTCAACGAGCACTAATTAGAATGTCAGTCGAGGTCCTGGTCAAGGCAGGACATCAGCCACAACCCACACCACATTGAACTGAAGTGGAAACCGCACCGCAGCCCACACTATGTGGCATGCCACACCACGACACACCATGCCACACCACAATCCCGGCAAATGCCTGACGGATTGATTGGAATGATTAATGACCTGGCCAGTGTGGCATTGCGTGACAAGTTTGTTAGTAAATTGAGCACGTCGTGGATGCGGTTGTCCTGCTCCGCTCCTGCAGCTTGCCACTAACACCTTTAGCTGTGTTGCTGATAGTTCCGAGCAGTGGCATCATTAATCTTCCAACCAGCGCGTACTGTACCATCTACGGATGTAACTATTGCCGCTCCCATTACTTCTGTTCGTCGGCGAACTGTGGCAGAAAGTTCTGCGAATTGGCGCATTTCCCACGGCGATCTCGCGGCGATCCTAAATCGTTTTTAATGAAGTCCTCATAAACTGGCCGAAAACTGTCATAAGCCGGGGATCATTTCTGCGTTAGAAACCCCCCTTCCACCAAAACCCAGCGTTGCGTGAATTTTTCGCCGAGCTGACTGACTGACCACAAGAACAAACAGATTTTAATAGGGAATCAAAGGGAAATTTATTAGATGCAGATCATTGTTCTGTTCTGGACTCCTGCGACCCTCGCGGCGTTTGCATATCCAGCGGTCTTCTTATCTCGGGACCCCTTACCCCTCACCCCGAAAACGCAGCCCAATATAAAGGTAAATACCTCAGAGATTAATGAGATTTCCTACGGGTGATTTTTTCTATGTTTCCATTCCGTTTTCTGTGTGTTTTTTCTTCGGGGTTTTTTTCTTGTGGATTTTTTATGGCTCGTTTAGCGATCGGCAAACAGGGCGCTTGTCTCGTAATTTACATGAAATTACTTCATTTGCAGGGGCATTCTTCGGGGTCCTGCGATCGAACAATACG